CCTTGTCAATTCGTCACACCCTCGAGGAGAGCCTATCATGTACAAAGACCTTTCGCCCTCCAATTCGGTCCATCACTGAAGCCCTCAAGGTCTGTCTGGAATGATGAGACCGCCGAGACCTCGCTGGTGGTGAATTCCTCTAACGTTGTGCGGACACCTCCTCCTCTTGTTGGGAACAGATGGAACCCGGTGCGGGGAAGGAGGTCTTTCGTTGGTGTTCGGGTCAATAATGTCTCCACAGCCCTCTGGAATGTTGCTAAACTCGCTAAGGCTTGCGTCGGATCCACGTTGGGAATGAGATTTCCGATGGCCGGTGGCTGTCATTGCGGTGGACGCGTTGCTGGACGCCTGGAACTCCCTGTACCTTGTAGTTGGTTTCTCAAGTCGCCTTGAGTAGCCACATTGTCGCTTCTCCTCCAGAAATCACTCCGCCACGAACAAGACCATTCGTCCTCTATCACGACCTGATCCAATCGAGCATCACCTTGATTGCTGCCAACACGGTTGTGACTGTGTGATCCAACCATCATCGTCATAAATTGGCTCTTAACGAGAGCACCAAATGATGGAGTTTAATCCAACTATGAGAGTTTAATTTACGAGAGCAGATGAAATTTAGGCAGCGTAAGGCAGTATTATTATTCCGGAGTTCGGATCCTTAGTAGGATATGTATAAGAAGTATTTATTTATAGACCTTAGGTTCTAGTAATCTAGGAGGAAACTGATACATTAAATGTTATTAATTGAAATATAGTCATGTAATGTCTCGAACATTGTACAATGATTGTTTACCTCAGGTCCACGTTTCTTCCGTTATTTCCTGTCGCCGCCAGATAGCTATTCGCGATTAATCGCGAATGATAGCCTGTTGCATAAGCCCTAGGAAGAGTCCGACCTCGCTAGAACTCCGCCTAGGCTTGAGGTTTGTTGTCCAGTCTGGCCTGGTTGTGGGTTCCTTTCGAGGGTCGTATTCCTAATTAGGCCCATCAATTATTTATTATTAATCCCGATTAATGGGTTGATCTTATGGTATGGGCTGATCCCGTTGATGGGCTTTACTTAAATTCAGTCTTTGGGCCATGGTTGTAATCCTTGGTACCATCAGTTTGTTTTAGGCTTATCATTGTCAACCCAATTCGATGGCCACATTGAACTCAACCCAAATGGCCAACGTGCTTTGCTGTTGAAGAAATGGCATCTGATGGAGTTTAATCCAATTACGAGAGCTAAATCTACCAAAATGGTATGAGAAACGTATGAAAAGTATGAAAGAATATGGCAGCGTAAGGCAATATTCTCTTTATTATAAAGGATCAATTGGCCATCCCCTGGTAGGGTGTTTACAAGAAGTATTTATAGACTTTAGGAGTCATTATTTATAGACTTTAGGGAGGGACTTGTTGTATTTTGGGTTGGGTTTACTCTCTTTTCCTTTTGTTTTGTTTTTTATTTCCCTTTTATTCTCTGTAATTTTTTTTCTCTTTCATGAATAAAATTTTAATTTTGCCAAAAAAATGAACTATATTCTTGCTCGAAATAGAACTCCTCTCATGCCTTGGATATCAAGCATTAATTGTCTCCTTCTTGTTTTCAAACTCCGGACGAGTCCTGCCTGTTGCCAAATAATTGTGCCGAATAACTGCTTGCCACGTAACCCGAGGAATATCCCGGCCTCACTAGAACTCCGCCCAGGCTCGAGGTCTGCTGTGCAGCCCGGCCTGGCTGTGGGTTCCTATCGTGGGCCTGATCCTGTTTGGGCCTGGCGGCATATTCGACATTAATCCCGTTGATGGGCTTGATCCCGTTTATGGGTTAATCCTGTTAATTAGGCTAATCCCGTTATGGGTTGATCCCGTTATGGGCTAATCCTGTTAATTAGGCTGATCCTGTTATGGGCTGATCCCGTTATGGGCTGAATTGCGTAATTGGGCCATGGTCCGAATCCATGGTACCATCAGTATCTTTTCTTTTTGCATCCTGCCATGTTTGTTGTTTTGAATGCTTCATGTAATTGTTGCACGTGCACGACTAATGACTATGCTTCTATGTGGTTGCACGGTTGCTGAAAATGAAGACAATGTCAACAAAATGCCGCTTTGAAAAGAAGTAGGACAAAGCTCTTGTCGATATTGCCTGGTCTCTGTCGCAGCAACGGATAGCTCTTTCATGTTTGAAAACTGAATTGGATAAGGTTTTTCTTGCCCGCATATCTACTAGAAATGTATGTCCACTATGCTATAATGCTTGTTTTTGTCGACAAGTGCATGTGGTGTGGGTGTCCCGAAAGTTCTGCTTAACCGACACTTCACGGGATGGGTTCTACATTGGTTGTAATTGTTGCAACCGCTAGGTTCATGCCATTAAAGGCATAGCTTTCGAATGCTTATTCTGTGGACAAAAAAAAAGAAAAGAAAAATTATTAAGCGATGCGTGCCTCGCAAACGAACTTCTGCTTGTTGTTGTAATTATCATCATCATCATCATCATCAATTCATCATCGTCATCACCATCATAATTTTCATTATCATTATCATTAGTCCTAATTAAATTATTCTAAATATTGTTGTTATATTTCCTAGCCCGGCAATAATCCTTCCATTATAGTCTTTTTTGGCTTAAGCGTTATACAAACTTATGTAGGGGTGAGTTATTTACTTCACATCTTATTACTTAGGGAAAACTGTCAATTTGGTCTTCGTACTTTCATGAAAAAGTCAATTAGGTCCTCGTACTTTAAAAAAATCAATCAAATCCCCGAACTTTGTAAAAACATCCAATTGAGTACATTTGCAGGTTACTTACCATGGACCATGTGTGATAGTATAGAATTGTTATTATTTATGTTTGTAATTTTAACTAGTTTTATTTGCTATTGTTTGGGAAATTACACACTTTTGGAGCCCGTTTGGAGAACTCTGTTTTCGGCTTATCAGGCTTATCAGCCAGCTTTTTCACCAAACACGTAACTTTTACTTTCACGCGCTGAATTGTGTAATAAGCCGAAAAAGTAAGGTTGAAGTTACTTTTCTGGCTGTATTGGCTGAAGTTACTGTAGAGGACCATTTTAGCTATTTTTACATATAATTTTTTCTTTAATTTATTAATAAAATATATTTTTAAAATATTTTTTTCTTAAATCAGCAGAATCAGCCAAAACAGCCACTCCAGCCAGAATATCATAAATTTCAGCAGAATCAGCCAAAACAGCCGATTTTGGTGCTACCAAACGGGCTCTTGGTGTAATACTTTATTTTTCCTATTTTGTTTGTAATTTGTTTAGATTAGGTTTATTCTGAGCTTTGACTAGGTGAAGGTCATCAAGAGTATCATTAGAAAGGTCAAGGAAAGTGAAAGAGAACAAGATAAAGTGAAAATTTGGAAAAATAGTCATTTACCCGGTTGGGTATTGACTTGATCCGAAAATCAAATCTGATTTGGAGGCAATTTAACGTGCAGGCAGAGATTTGATAAAGATTTTTCTTTTACCCGATCGGGTAAATCAAAAACCCGGTCGGGTATATTGTGACAGATGAAGGTTCCAGGCACTTACTCAAGAAACCCGATCGGGTTTCTCAAAAACTCGGTCGGGTAAATGGCACTGACAGCTCCAAACACCTATAAATACACCCCATTTCCTTCTCATTTATTCACCAATTCCTATACACTTCTAAGCTCAGTTTAGTTAAGTACTTCCTTTATATTTTTATCATGTTTTGTCTCCAAATGAGGAGCTAAACTCTCCCATCTTGGTTTTGCTACTTTGAAACTTAATGAATTTGTAAGTTGTGAGTTATTCTCTTTAATCTTCTTCCTTGAATATTAATTCTTCCTTTAAATACTATTTCTATATCAATGTTGGGGAGTGTTACTAAGATGACAATTAGTTAACATCTTGACATTAGTTATAATAATAGTTATTTCTTACTCTACGTTAATATTGGGGAGTGTTACTAAGATGACAATTAGTTAACATCTTGATATTAGTTATAGTAGGATTCATCTTCTTCAATATTTTTCCTTGAGTATTAATTAATTCATATTCATATTTCATATTAATATTTTGAACATTACTTAAAGGATCAACTAGTTTTGTTTCATATATTAATTATTACTAGAATCGATCGACGAATACGCTTGTTAATCGTTCGATCGTTTCACGGTAGTAAACTTGGGTTATTAATGCATGCGTTTCATGGGTAATAAACCAAGGGGAATTAATTATGTTGATTAAACCAATAAACCGCTTGTATTGAGGTTATCAATCTCAATCGTTTTCATCTTGATTTTATTGCTACTATCGGGTTAATATACGGCGCGTGTTCTATATTAACTCGGTAGTAAGTTTTATTAATGAACGTGTCTCGTTATTAATAAATAATTACCTCGATGAACTGGATATACTCCTCGATTGAGTATTTGAGAGGAAGATAGTTAAAGATATAACCGGGATCGACGAACATTTCATTAAGTGGATAAAAGCAAAACCAAGTCCCCATCTCTATTAATTAAACTCATTTAAGTCATTCATCTTAGTGTTAATTAAATTAAATCAAATCAAATCTAAAGTCCCCTTGTTACTATTTAATTAAAAAGAGAAATATTTCTTTCCTTGTGGATACGAACCTTACTTCGTTATACTATATATAAGTGTTGTATTGTATTATTATTTTGAGTGCACACCACGACAAAGTGCACGTCAATGTGTGTGCCACGTCATAACCAAACGGATGACTGGACTTCCACGTGTGTGCCACATCAGCAAAATTATTGATGATTGGACTGCCATATGTGCGTCACGTCAGCGGATGACCCGATGACATGACAAGTAACCTACTCAATTGAGTGTTTTTTCTATTATCTACCATAATATACAACCATAAAACTTGTGAAATGAGCACGACCCTCACATTTGGGTGAAGAAGATGAGATAGATTAATGTTGAAAACTACCTCGATTCTTAAATAAATGCAATAATGAAAACTACATTTGGGTGAAGAAGATGAGATGGATAAATTTGTTCTCGTAATTTAGATTTGAGCAAAAAAAAATGATTACATTCAAAAAAAAGAGTTGAGAGGAGACACTTATGTGAGAACGTAACTACCGGAGCATACACATACACATATACTCCCTCCGTCCCGCTAAGATTGTCCCATTTTACCTTTTCGGGAAGTCCCACTAAGATTGTCTCATACCATATTTGGTAAAGATTGTGTGGTTCTAAATCATTCTAACTTTATTCTTACTTTATCAATTTAATATCAACCACACAAACCTACTTTTCTTAATGATCGTGCCACCTTTTCTCGTCCCAATCTTAGTGGGACGGAGGTAGTAATATAATTGGATTGGATGGATAGGTTATAATTTGTGAGCGAAAATGGAGGCATCAGATAGGAAAGAAGCATCCATTCCATTTAAGTGGGAAATCCAACCCGGGGTGCCCAGGATGAAGGGTCTCCACGGAGCCGATGATGATGATCGGAGCAATCGCCGCCGCCCAGATTTACACGCTCCTAAGATGCTCAGGCCTCCGCCGGGCGGGCGGCTTTTCTACAGGCCGATCAGTGAGCCCCGCCGCTCCTTCAGATCTCGTCCCGCCGTGGTGGATTCGGGAGCGTGCTGCCCGTCCTCGTTGCTGACCAGCTGGAAGGGGGCCCCGCCGCCGGCGGAGTACTGCTCCGACGCTGAGACGACATCGAGGCGGTCCGGTTCGACTTGGAAATCGCTCTCCCATTTCAGCGACTCGCCCCAGTATTTCTCCTCAACCCACACGTCACCGCCTCGCCCCGTAAACGACGCTGAGTGGCCCACCTTTGCTTTGCTTTAGTTCCTATGGGTCACCTTTTTCTTTCTTCCTGTCTAGTTTTAATTTTGATAGGTATGTCTATTTGTGTACATATAATTAATGACAACACTCCTTCCTTCTACTACTCGTCAGGTTTGTGTGGAGTTTTTTTTGTCCGTCTATCCGATTCAAAGACAAAATAATTTGCATAAACATGTTTACAAACTCCTCACAGACATGGTGGACACACCAATGGGAATAAGAGTAGTTACATTTTTTTTGAATTAATTAATGTGTCTCCTATATATTATTGTGAGATTTTCTATGCTCCCACTCAAACATCCCATCTCTATTTTATTTTGGGATCTTTCTTTGTTTTCCTCCCTTTCTTTTTTTATATTATCAATCAACAATTGTGTGCATTCTAGTCAAGATTTTTATTCCAATATGCATCTTTTATATAGCCTCCCAAACTTACATTTCCTAACTTTGGACATATAAAAATCTTTTCCATTAAGAAATATTGCTTTGAAAGTGATCGTTGTAAAAAAACATCCACACGCATATCCAGGTGTTCATGTTTTTTCACCAATCTCGATGCCTTCTTTTCCGATCCATCGGACCATCCATTGTCATCGGGTTTCTAACATACAACAAAGGATTGATATTCCAAAGTAAGAATGTGACATTTATTTATTCACAAGTACAAGTTAATACTTACTATGTTGTTCCAATTGTTTGTATGCAATTTACATCTAAACTTGTGTGACTTGATGGACTACCCGACTAATCTAGTGACACGTTTAAAGCTAACTTGAGAGGTAATATCTAATTGATTATTACTGAAATGTCTAGATAAGCCACACGTGTACGCCTGGCAGTTGGCATGTGTAATTCAATTAGATGTGCCGTCAGTCCTGTGACAGTTGTCATGTAGTGACATAATCGTGAATGTTTTGTGACATCTAAGTGCTGAAATAACTAAGTATAGAATCTCTATCCGAGGTCCCGAGCTCGGTCGTAGAGGTCAGGCTCGAGTGTAATGTGCTAGCTAAGAGGTGGGGAACCTCGGCTCATGAAGCGGGGATGTGGTTATTGATCTTGAGCTTGTAGTGCGGTGGTTGGCCTGAAGCTCGGTCGTAGTGCTGGAAACGTCACCAATCTCGGCAAGGGCCGACCTCGGCCTCGGGTACAGTTTTGGACTTATATCGGTGATCTGATAATTGGTCTTGAGCTCGACCTCGACGGGCTTGAGCTTGGCCGGAGTTGCCTTAGCGGATTCTAGAGATATGATACCTTGGAACACTGTGGTCAAGGTCTCCACCGCCCTCTGGAATGTCGCTAAACTCGACAAAGCTTGCGTCGGATCAACGTTGGGGATGTTGTGTCCCGTCCCAGGTGTTTGAAACTGTGGCAGTCGCACCGCCGTTCGCCAGGAGCTTCCAACGCCTTGGAGCTGGTTTCTCAGATCGCCCTGATTAGCGATATTGTCGTTGCGCCTCCGGAAATCGCTCCGCCGTGACCTTGAACCTTCATCCTCAATCACGACTTGGTTGTAGAGATCCCCGCCTTGGTTACTGCCCACACGGTTGTGACTGTGTGATCCAATCATCGTTAATCGTAGATCGTTCTCTCAACGAGAGCACCAAATGATGGAGTTTAATCCAACTACGAAAGCTAAATCTACTAGAGATATCAAAAAATATGACAGCGTAAACTGATACAGGAAGTATTTATAGACTCTAGGAGCTAGTATTTCAGGAGGAAACTAATACAGTAAATGTTATTTAATGACATTCTATTCGAATGAGTCTCCTGTAACGCCTAGGACGTTGCCTGATGATTAACTCCTTTAAGTCCACGTTCCTTATTGAATTCCGCCTGCTGCCAAATAGCTATTCTCGAATAATAGCCTGCCACGTAAACCCTAGGAATGTCCCAGCCTCACTAGAACTCCGCCCAGGCTCGAGGTCTGCTGTCCAGCCCGACCTGGATGTGGGTTCCTTTCATGGGCTTGATTCCCATTTAGGCCCAACGGCTTATCTAATATTAATCCCGATCAGGGCTTGATCCCATTTATGGGTTAATCCTGTTAATTAGGCTAATCCCGTCAAGGGTTGATCCTGTTATGGGCTGGTCCTTTTAATTAGGCTAATCCCGTCAAGGGTTGATCCCGTTATGGGCTGGATTACGTAATTGGGCCATGGTCATAGTCCATGGTACCATCAATACTATATGAACATTAAATAATATTTTATGAAAATATGCAATTTGTAGTATTGGTTAATAATGTATTATTCATTTGAAATATTATCACTTTTCCAACATGAAGAACCTGGAGATTGAAAGAAGGGAAATCACCCTAAACGTTGGTATATTCTAAATAGGGCCGACTTGCGGAATGTGGAGGCCCTAGACAAAAAAACAATTAATATTGACTCATCAAATTAATACTATCGTACGTATATTTCTATAACACCGTAGTTAAGAAATACTCCGTATAATTTTTTTTTAATGAAAAAAAAGGTTATAATATGAGATAACTTAAATATAAACTCACAAATAGGATAAACAAAGTGTAATCAAAATGCACTGTACTGTTTGTGAAAATAAAAAGTCAAAGTACAAAAGTATTGAAAATCTTCTTAAAATATTATCGAAATGTGATTTAAAGGAAAAAATATTACTAAAAATTATATAGCCACTATAGTGTTGAATGAAAATTAATCACAACTACAATCATTAATATCATTAATGTATAAAAAGACATAATCTGCGTTCTTATCCATTTTACCATATATTGTCATTATTTCATATAAATACTACAATCATACTACGTATTACGGAGTAGTTTTTTTATTATCATTCATACTACGTATTAATTAGTTAAAAACTGAAAGCATGGCATGAATATTAGACAAAAATAATTTAAACACCTAAACCTGCGCAGGCTTCTCCGATCTTCCTAGCATACATCGAGCTTCTCTCCGTCACTCCTCCGATTTTCTTCAATCGAGCTTCTCTCCATCAGGGACAGCTCCTCCGCCTCGCCTACGCCGGCCACCAGCGATGCTGCCTCTGCTTCTCGTCTACACCGGATGCATCCGACTCGCCTCCACCGGCTTCTCATCTGCACCATAGTTGCAATTCTACTGCCGCCGCCGCCTATTTGGGGCTAGGGCGAGTCACCTTCTCCTTCTTCGTTGTGAAATTGTCGCAGATCTAGTGGTTGTTGGCGGTGATTGGGCTTGGGCGAGACGCAGAGGGCTACGGGGTTGGGGCCAGGGCAGGGCGGTGGTTGTTAGGGGAGGTTGCGAGCCGCAGAGAGGCTAGGGTGAGTTGGAGAGGGCTAGCGGCGCTGAAGAGAAGGCGATGGCGGGGCTGGGCGGCGCTGGGGCAAATATGCTGGGGATGGGGCTGGGAAGCTGTGGGGGAGCAGGGGAAGGGGACTGGGGTACAGGGAGGGGGCTGGAGTGCAGGGGAGGTGGGTTGGGGTGTAGAGGAGGGGGCTGGGGGAGCAGTGGAGGGGGTTGGGGTGAAGGGCCGGTCTCAGGCGATGGTGGCGGTGTCGATGCGGTATTGTGATTGTTTCCGGTAAAAATTTTGATGTGAAAAAGGCGATGGAAAATTTTACGGCAACATAGTGACGCGTTTTCCGGTATTGTGACATCTTAAAGTGACGTGAAAATCGATAGTGACATTTCAAAAGTGACACAAAAATCTAGTAGTGACATATAATAGTGACATCAAAATTTGACAATGACAAAAAAATGATAGTGACATCATTTTTTTCTAAATGACCTTTCTAGTCAATTTTTGTCTTTTTATAAAAATGATCCTTTTTTGAAAATTGGCTTTAGTTTAGTAATATTGAAGGGAAAAACCCTTAAAAACTTGATCCAATTGTTTTCAGTTGGGGGAATTTGACTTTGCACCCCACTTTTTAGGTGATATTGGACTTTGCACCTCATTTTGAAAAAACTTTGATTTTGCACCCCATTCCACTTAAATTTCTTTTTACTTTGCACCCCATTTAGAACTTTTTTTTTCACAAAATGGTATGTGTTGGGGTGCAAAGTCAAAGCTTTTTAAAAATGAGGTGCAAAGTCTAATATCATCCAAAAAGTGGGGTGCAAAGTCAAATTCCCCTTTTGAGTTTTCACTTTTCGAGTAATTTCATACATTTTACAATTTTCAATTATACGCCTTTTCAATTGCCATCACTATACATACTCCTACGTGGTTATTGAATTACTCGTATACCTATTTATCATATAGTTTCTTTTAGTTAAGTAATTTAACTTCAACAGTTCAAATGTGTGAATTAACCGTAAGCCAAAACGATAAATTCCTCGTCTGCTATTCTCCCAAGTCCCAATTAAATTTGTCCTTTCGTTTGCTGACTCTCGATGCATTTCTGACTTGCAAAGTGCAAACTATGAAGTATTTAAATCAATATATATATAAAAGAGGAACTTTTTAAGAGCATACAGAGTGCCACATAACACTGCCATGTCATCATTATTTTAATTTATGTATTTATAATTTTGGCCAGATTAAATATCGACTAATTTATTTGGAAAGAACATCACAATTTTATTCTTCCAAACCAGATTCTACGGAGTATTACGTAGAATACTATGTTTAACTTTAAATTCCGGCCACATTTTATAATTTCATAATTTAGAAATTAAACTATATTTCTATATTTAACTTTAAACAATTATGACCGTACATCACTAGACTACATTAGGCTCATCACAGTTTTATTCTTCCAAACCAGATTCTACGGAGTATTACGTAGAATACTATACTCCTTATTTAAATTTAAATTTGGGCCAGATTTTAATTTCTAATTTCATAATTTACACATCAATATATATATATATGTATATATATAAAAGAGAGACTTTTTAAGAGCATACAAAACACCACATAATCCTGTCATGTCATTATATATAACAATTATTTAGTTATTTTTATACCTGTTGTTTTTATTAGATTCTATTTTTGATTGGATATTGATATTGATATGGAAACAAAAGACCATAGAAATACACCTTAATTAATTTGGTAACTTTTTCAACACCTATTACGTATTTGATAAGTGTTAACTGTTAAGTATAAATATACATTTGTTTATTCAAATATAGAATCTCTTAAAAAGAATATTTCTGATCAAGTAGCTTACCATATTTAATAAGGATGAAAATTGATATCATACATAAATATATGTATATGTATATGTTTATTTATTTTCACA